GGCTCAGGACCAGCCTTCCACCAGCACCCCCTCGGCTGACACAGCCCAGTGTCCAGGGAGCAGGTGAAAAGCAGAAATGACAGCCGCACATCCTGGTTCCCAGGGAAGCTGGGGAGACGGTACACACACCATTGTGCCGCCCCCAACTTGGTGACAGTTCGGACTCTCACACGAAATGCTTTGTGCGCTTATCAGGTGACGGACCTGGGTTACCCACCAGAAGGAGGCGTGGGTGTCCAGCCCCAGCCCCGGGACGTCCCGTGGGGACCTGGGGCTCCTCCACGTGGGGAAGCAGCAGGTCCCAGGGATGCCGTGCAGACGGGGAGACCTCTAGAAGCAGCAGGGGCGCCGGGCCCCCGTGACCTGACTCCCGGTTGTCGGAGACGTGGGGTCCCCACTCACAGGACACCTGGCCCCAAGGGTGCGGGCAGTGGGGTGGCCGTCCCCGGCACAGCGATGGCAGCAGGGCCGTGGCCACGGTGGGGCAGGGGGGTGGAGAGCCCCAAGGAGACTCAGTCCAGAATGTCCGTCTCAAAGGGCACCAGGTGGTAATAGGACAGGTTGGTGACATAAGCCGCCGGGTCGTCACCGTCCTCCAGCTCTGGGGCAAACTCCCCACCGCTGTCAAACCTGAAACGGGGCGACAGCACAGAGGTGACTCCAGGCTGGCTCAGTGACTCGCCCCGACTCCAAAGACGTCCTGCTCCGGCTTCACCCCCCGAGAGACTGTTACTGGCCCTCGCTGAGCAGGGTTTGCCCAGGCCTCCGTCCACCCGGCCGCTCCCTCATGCGGCGGTCACCTCTCTCTCCGACACAGCTGCTCTGTGTCAGGCTCTGGGACGCAGCAGCGGACCGGGCCCGGGAACCTGCCACGTGCTGGGCACGGACATCGGCAGCGATGGGAGGAGGGCCGTGTGATCACGGCTCCTCATGCAGCTGCGGCCCGGGCCACCTGCGCGCGCCACCCGGACCCGGGAGAAAGGTGGGGCCGGGCAGGCGCTGGTGGGAGTGGAGGAGGCTGGCGGAGGGGCCCCTTCTAGAGGAAGTGTGCACTCAGTGTGGGGGTGACATGGGGAGGGGTGGGAAGAGCTCAGGGAGGGACTTGCACCCCCAAGTGAGGTCACCTAAACACCTTCCCAACCTCGATTCCCCCTGAACGGAGATGTTCCCGCCTCCTGACCCAGACTCAGCCTCCTGAGCTGGAAAAAGATTCCAAATTGTCAAAGACGGCGAACAGAGCAGAAGCGCACGAGGGCCTCCCCCAGGCGGGGAACGCACGCTGCCGGTGCTTCTCCCGTCCCCTTCCGCTAAGGACCAGGCCAAACAAGGGGCGGGGGCTGCCCCGTCAACCTCCCACCCACGGAGCCGGCCCCGTGCTAGCTCGGGGGACCCGCGGGTCGTGAGCTTTCTTCACAGACCCTGCGAGCGCGCCCACGTGGGGAAGCCGGGGGAGGGGAGTAACGTCCTGAGCTCACACAGCTGGGAGAGCCGCGGGCACGGCCCCGACGGTCACCAAAGCCAAGTCATGGCATCCCTCAGGCTGCCGCCCGGAAGCACACCCAGGGGTCGGGCTCTCCTACAGCCCTCGTCGGGGGCCCGAGGTCTGTCATCTGAGAAAGGATGGCGGGTGTCTTCTCTAATCCATACATCCCCAGACCAGGGCAGGCCTGTGAGCCACACAGAGGCCACCCGGGAGGCGACGCAAAGCCAACCTGCAGGGGATGCCCCCTCGAGGAGACCAGGCCCCAGAGAGGAGGCGGGTGGTCCCCAGACCCCTCAGGGCCCAGCACAGCACAGGCCTGAAGCTGGGCGGCAACTCAGTGTCCCCCATGCTCGGTCCAAGCAGCTCTGTCCCCACGGGTTTATGAATCAAGTCTCCCTGTCCTGTGGGAGGGGTGGGCACCTCGACAAGTCCCCAGTATTGGCCTCATCTACTGCCCTCCTGTGGAGCTCCATGTGGGCGGGAGCCCCAGCCCTGGCACCAGCTGACCGGCTGGGGATCCGCGAACAAGACGCGAGTCAAAGCAGCGTACTCACAGGTGCTCCGCCGGGTCCACGGCCAGGTGCTGGTCCTTTCCGTTCGGGATACTGTGGTCAATAACGATCGTCTCCGTGTTCGCTAAACAGAATCCATTGGACCTCATGATTTCTGAAAACGAAAGCAAGAAGGGAGATATTTGGAAGGGGGTCAGGTCTTGAAGTTTTGAAGTCTGGGGCTCATATAGACCTCCTCACTCCCCCTCCACCTACTGTGCCCCCTTCTCCCCCACACCGAGAGGACGCTCGGCCACACGGAGTCAGGGCTGACCCTGTGCCAGCCAAGAGGTGCACCTCCCCCCGAGAAAGATGCTTGGGTTGTCCGAGCCCCCTCCCCGTTCACCCTCCCCGTGGCTTTAAAGCTGGAGGAAAAAGACTCTGGGTTTAAGGCCAGGCTCTGCCCAGGTAACCTGATCTCTCAAAGCTCCCCCCCGCCCCCGTGTCTGAGACGAGGGGACCACTATCTACCGCCTGGGGCTGCCACCAGGGTCAAGGAGATCAGTGTGCCTTTGCAACCAAACTGGCAACTTCACCTTTTACTTTATACAATTTTGTATTAAAGCTGCCTTTTTATGAACAAGTTGAAGTAATTTTTGTTGTTTTTATATATATAAATTTTTTTTGAAGCACAGTCAGTTTACAATGTTGCGTCAATTTCTGGTGTACAGCATAATACTCCAGTCATACATATACACACATATATTCATTTTCATACTCTTTTTCACCGTAAGCTACTAAGGGATATTGATATGGTTCCCTGTGCTGTACAGTATGAACTTGTTGTTCATCTATTTTATGTGTAGTAGTTAGCATCTGCAAATGTCCACCTCCCAATTTATTCCTTCCCACCCTCTTCCCCCAATGGTAACCATAAGTTTGTTTGCCATGTCTGCGAGTCTGTTTCTGTTTTGTAAATAAGTTTGTGTGTTCTTTTTTTTTTTTTAGATTCCACACATGAGTGATATCATATGGTATTTTTCTTTCTCCTTCTGGCTTACTTCACTTAGAATGACATTCTCCAGGTCCATCCATGTTGCTGCAAATGGCATTATTTTATCCTTTTTATGGCTGAGTAGTATTCCATTGTACAAATATACCACGTCTTCTTTATCCAGTCATCTGTTGATGGACATTTAGGTTGTTTCCATGTCTTGGCTACTGTAAATAGTGCTGCTGTGAACTTTGGGGTGCATGTATCTTTTTGAATTAAGGTTCCCTCTGGGTATATGCCCAGGGGTGGGACTGCTGGGTCATATGGTAAGTCTATTTTCAGTCTTTTGAGGAATCTCCATACTGTTTTCCATAATGGCCGCACCAGACAAGGTGTTTATTTTTCATCTTTCTAGGTATTTGGGTCTCAGTTGAGTTTCCCTCCATGTGAAAAGAATTAGGGAAACTACACACAAAAAAAGAAAGAAAAGTGGATTTCTTCCCCTTCCCCCAACCCAGGATGAAATGACCATTCATCAGATTTGCCAAGTACTTGCTCAGATTCCACTTTACTTTCTGGAGAGGTGACAACTCAGGTTGGCTGGCCTTTCGTGGTCAGCCAGTCTCCGTGAGACACCAGCACCTATCTCTTCCCCACCCTCCCATCCCTGGCTGAGCACCCCTAAAGCCCAGTGGCCTTGGGGGACCTGTAAGTCGTGAGGAGACCATGAAAAGTCTGGTGAGTCTTTCATGGACAGGGCCTCCGTCTGCCCGGTGTCCTCGTGCTCGGGAATCTGCAGTGACGCGCCTTCCCCGTGGGGCCCCAGATCGGGGTGTGGCATCATCCGCCTTATTCCTGGGGTGTCCTCTGCTCTCTGGGGTAAGGACATTTCTCCCAAGTCAGGTTACTATCTTCCTCTTGGCACTTAAGCAACATCTTGGTGGAGATGCGTTGAGACTGTGCAAATCCTGTTTCTCCTTAAACTTCGGCCCACTGATCTCGGTGACCACCAGTGATCTTTTCTGCCTGGTGGTGATTTTCTTTTCTTTTCTTTTCTTTAACCTAAAGTTTTGTTTCCACCCGCCCCACGTGCCACCGTTCCTGAGTTCATGGATCCGTCTCTTCCCTTTCCCGCAGACAGTGCAGCTGCCTCCCTCTCCAAGTCCCTCTCCTGTCCTCCTCCCAGCGTCCTCCAGCAACAGAACAGAACCTGAAGCCATGCCTTTTCATTAACCGGCGGACAAGGCTCTCCCCATGTGGTGAAAATTAAGGTTGAGACTGTACAGATGCCTCGTTAGTGAAAAATGAATTTATAACTCATTTCCAGGCTTCCCAGACCTGAATAATCTGATTTTTGTGGCCAATATCAATTCATCCAAGCAGCCAGGCCAAGGCTGAGGTGGATGCTGCCTTTTAAGGGACACAGACACAGCCATGGTGCAGAAGATGTAAGTCTTCTCAGCCTCCATGATGAGCTTTCAGATGAACATGCAGTGAAGGATGTTCAAGGCATCAGCACAGAAGCCACGCGCCTCCCATAACCCTGGCCCCGGGAGGTGGCTGGTTCTCGCACCGCGAGCGTCTGGCGCCATCTAGTGGAGCCCCGCCCCTTAGACACTGTGACTCCCCCTCTGCGGTGTCCCTGGGTAGGGAGCACGATGCCCCAAGAACCGAGGCTCCTGGCTTGCACAGGCAGGCCAAGGCCCCGCCTTCCTAGCCCTGCACCCCAGGCCTCCTGAGCTCATGGACAGTAGGGACCCAAACCCTCTGTCCCCAGTCCTCGCCATGACCCAAGTATGTACTTAAAACCTCGACGTGGGACCCTAACGTTCTCCCCGTAAAATTCCATCTCCATCCTTTCAGCACTTCGGGATAAACCTGGGTCGTGCATTTACCCAAATCACCGATAGAAACGGCACTAAGACAGAGGGCTGGGATCTCCCTCCCGAGTTACCCAGACGCAGCAGCCTGTCCCCCTCACACCCCGGGGCTTCGGGGTCACCGGAAGCAGTGGGCCAGCGCCTGCCGCCAGCACCAGGCACTGGCAGGACTCTTCCGCTACCCCGTTTGCTCAAAACGGGGAGAAATAAAGCAAAAGAGACGCGGTGTAGGGACCGCCTACGCAGGACCGACGGGCTGCCCGGGCTACCCGGGCACTCGGAGCCACACCCGCTGCAGGGCCCTCCCGCTGCCCCAGGACGCGGGGCCGCAGACGCCCACCCCGGATGGACGGCCACCGTTTTCAGGCTCCTTAGAGAAGGTTCGCACTCGGGCACCAGCAGCTCTCCCGCGGGGGCTCCCTGCGAAGTGCCCCTCAGCCGCCTCGGCCTCGAGCAGCGCGAAGACGAAGCCCAGCGTCCTGACGGCGCGTGCGGCCCAGGTCCGGGAGATCCAGGCCTCTCCTCCGCGCCCGGCC